GCACCCCAGCTGCTCTGCTCCCGGCTTCCCCGATTCAGCTGCTGGTCAGTTTCAGCAGCAGCTGAATGGGGGAAGCCTGTCCGGCTGCCCCAGCACTTCCGGGTTCCTGATGGTGCCGGACCATCAGGAGTCCCGGAGCATTGGATGCCGACTAATGGAGTTTTACTGTAGATGGAAAAGATTAGAGTGAACACTGCCTCACGCCATTGAGAATCACCTCTCTACATCCAGCAGGGCCGTTCCTAGGGTGGTGTGGACACTGGGGCAACTTCTCCCTCTTCCACAGGCCACACCCCACCTCTGCCCTACCTCTACTCCACCCTGCCTCTTCCTGCCCCTGCTCTGTCCTCTCCCGGCATTACAAATATCCTTTCCTCAAAGCCCCCTCCTTCAAGTGATGTGACATGCAAAATTGCCAGGAGGCCTGGTATGAATGTGCAGCAGGGATCACCCTTCATCCCTATGCTCACTGTGGTGGCAGGAGCCATGGAAATTGGAGGGAATGAACCACTTCCCACTACCACAGTGAAGTGGAGCAACGTGGCTGGGAGATGGCAACAGAGCAATTCAGACTGCTGAATAGCTCTATTTCCAGTGGATTCCACTGACTCTGAGAGTGCAATGAGTGAAGCGGAGTCCTGAACCCTGTTGTTGCTGCGCCAGACCACCCAGGAAACCTCCTAGGCCATGCTGGGCCCAGTTAGCCTCAATATGGGGGCCATATCCATAGGATGGCTGGGGTGGCTGCTGTGGGCTCACTTCAAGTGCTGGGACCCCGAAAGGAGAGCAGACCCAACATTTCTGGGAGTTGGTTTAACCTGGCCTGGGCTGCTCTGTGCAGGGAAGGGAAAGGGACAGGAGAACTCAATTTCTATCCTCCTCCCCCATACCCCTTCCCAGCCTGAATTAATATCCTGAGCATTGGAAGCATCCCCAGACCCTCCTTTGCCCCCTGCAGTGATTTTCTTCTCCCCCAGGCATATTTGAGCTGCCAGGGAGAGGTGAGTGAGCTCTGGTGCAGCTTCTCTTTGCTTCTCCATATATACCATTTTCTGCAGAAAGTCAAGAGAATCTTGGGGGAGGGGGGGGTAGAGTTCTGCTGAAAGGCTGTGGCACAGAATTCCCCCAGGAATAATAGTTATTCTTTCCCTCTGAGTTCCCTGTAAGATAATGAGGATCTCCCACAGAGTTCTGAATCCCCTAAGATCCCTGGAGGATGTACTCAGCAACTTGCTGGACTGGGTCCTTAATGACCATGCCAGGGAAGAAAGTAGAAATAGTAGCTCCTACCAAGATTATTTTCACAAAGACAGACAGCATTCAGGCATTAAGTCTTAGTTAAATTCTGCTCCTGGTTGAAAAACATCTTGGGGTTTTTACAGTAATACTGCCATCTAGAGTTCATAGGTTCCGAGTGTTAGTCTTGTATAACAATTACTTTCTAAATATACATGCATAATATTGCCTTCTAAAAATTGCAAATATACAAATAACTTTACTAGGAGATTAAAAATCATTTTTTAATTCAAGGGATCCATTTCAAACAGATATCTGGTAATTAGAAGCTAAGTCTCCTTACCTTGCATGGTATAATCAAAAAAGGCCTCATCTTGAAGTCCACTGGACTATTAGTACTAACTTCAAGACAAGCAAGACTGAACCCAAATGTGTGTGTTTGTTGAGATTATTCTATATGCCAGGTCAAATTTCTATATTTAATGTCAAGCCTATTGTGGTTTTGTTATAGCACACTTTCATCTTTACAGCACTGATTTAAAATGTATTATTTTTAGTTCATGGCAACTAAAAGCAAATAAATGTTGCCTGTTGAATCTAAAGAAGTGCATAGATGAGAGACGCAATAGAAGCTCCACCTCCTACCATCTATGATTTTGCAAAGGAAAATATCCTCAATCTTGCACATTGTACAAAATACACAAACTGCCTCCAGTAAAAATATCCCCATGGTCTGACAGTTATACTAATGATCACTAGCTGAAGGAGTTCAAAAAGGAAAACCACTCATGACATTTATAGATTGTGAATTAGTATATGGTATATCCCGATTCAGTTCAACAAACAACATTTTAATTTGGAGAACCAGATAGTTAAGAATGTTACTGCAAATCTTAATCCTTATAACATCCTTGTGAGATATACTAGAATTATTTGGGAAAGATAAGAAAAAGGTTAAGTGGCATGTCTCAGACCACATAATGAGTCAGTAGCTACAATGGGAATTAAACCAGCTGATCCTGAGTTCTTATTTCAAGTTTCCTTCCTTAAACACTACACAATACATCTTCTCAAGAGGCCTCAAAAGTTTCACAATTTAATGCCTATGCTCCATCTATTTTTTTTTTTAGAGTATGGAATCTTATATCAATAATGATAAAAACAAAATGTTATCACAATGAAAATACTGTACATTAGTTAATCATTTGCTCCACTAATAGATTTATCACACTTTCTAATCTTTTTTTACACCACACTAAGGGAGGCTTATTTAACAATGGAAATTTGCTGACCCTTCTTTTATTGCCTGACATATACTCTTGTTCTCTGAGAAGGGTAAGCAGATATCTTCCTTTTGTTTTTACCCCCTAATAACCACCAATTTATTAAAGTGTTATTAGTTTTCCATGAAAAGATCCTGTGGTCTTTTTTCCCCCCCAATGTGAAAAGATCCTGTGGTCTTTTTTCCCCCCCCAATGTGATTTAAAAAAAAACAAAACAAAACAAAAAAAACCTACTACTATTGTAAATGTATTTTTCTCTTTTTTTCCCCTGTCACTAGCCTTTAAAATGTTTGACCTTATATTTGTGCTGTATTTCATTTTGCACACATTTTATTGTGTTCTGAATGGAGTTGAACTTAAAAGTGTTGACAAATCAAAGTATGAACACCATATACCTCTCAGATATCCATTTTAACAGGGAAACTTGCTAACCTACGGGAACCACTCAACTCAAGTACTAAAGATCAAGACGTTCTATTCACAAAGCTATAAAAAGGGTCTTTGAAGAATAATGGGGGAGGCAGCATATTTTATACAAGGCCCCTGTGATCTAACAAACTGAGGATTAGCTACAAGCATGTTTGAAAATGGTCTTAAAATTCTGCTATGTTCTATGAACATTGCTGTACATTACAACCAAGTCCAAAAATAACTATTAAAAGGTTTTATTCCAAAACAACTTTGACGCTCAAAAACGTATCTGCGGCCAACTCCCAGACCAGGATCGGACGCCAGCAAGTTCTCTGAAGACAATGGCAACCTGTGGGCTCAAACCATGGTGGGGAGGAACTGCGTTCAAAACCTTCTAAGAGAAGGGGGCGAGGACAACGAAATCGCAGCGCGCCTGTGACCGCGTAAGGAAGGCTTAAAACCACGTGAAGCTCGAAATGTCTGAGCAGAAATCAAAGCCCAACGTCCTGCAGTTGAGGGAGGAAAGCGAAGTCCCAGGGGGCGCGTCCCCCTCAGACACACCCCGGACCAGTCCACACAGTTTTCACACCTGTAGTCAGGCGGGCGCGGGGTGCGATGCTAAACTGAGACAGGGGCCCGGAGCGGGGCGAAGAGGAGGCCTCCCGCTTATGCTAAACTGAGACAGGGGCCCGGAGCGAGGCGAAGAGGAGGCCTCCGCGGGAGGGAGTCACCCCAGGCAAGAGCCTGGTTCCCGCTGTGCTGGCCTTAACGGAAATAACCACTCGCATCCTTGGAGAGCGCGGGCGGGCGGGCAACCGCAGCGGCCCCGCTCCAGGCGTCACTCGCCTCGCGGGTCTTTCTTCCCCCGCCCCCCTAGATTGACGGCTCGGTTGAGCAACGAGGAGGCCGGGGGGAGGCGGGATTTCCTGGGCGGGGCTGGGCCCCGTGTTGTGGCTGTGCTGACGAAGAGGGAGGGGTCAGTCAGGTGGGCGCTTCGTAGGGTGTGTGGGCGCCTCGGCCCGTAGAGACCAGCTGTCGCCATGCCCGGGATTGACAAGCTGCCCATCGAGGAGACGTTGGAGGACAGTCCCCAGGTGAGAGGAAGGGGACTGAGTCGGGCCTAGGGCTGCCGCAGGTTGGAAGAAGGGCCCAGGGGCTTTGCGCCCGGCTGGTGCCCGCGGGCCCCGTATCGGGCGCGTTGGCGGCATAATGAGCGCTAGGTTGGGAGGCAGGTTGCGTGGCTGACTGGTGCGGTGAAGGGGCAGGAAACTGCGGTTGTGGTGTCTGGGGCGAGCTCCCAAGAGCCCGGGGAACAACCGTTGGCTCGGGGGCACAGGAGCGTCCTGTAGGGTCTGCTTCTATTTTCTGCCTTGCTTTCCTTGGTGCTCTCCGCGCTGCTGTGAACTACAGCAGCGTCAAGCCATAAATGGACTCGGAGCTGCCCCTTTGCCACTGTGTGAACTGGAGCAGGGAGTCAATTAATGTGTCAGTTTCCCCATGACGTCATCCCTACCTTGAAGGTGTGCTCTGCATATTGATTGTTTATAAACTTGGAAGTTCATCATATGACACCCTATGCCAGTGTTTCTGGAGCAGGGCTCCGCGAGGTCGACAAACTGGAAACATCGATAGGTACAACACATACAATCGGTGGACCGCTGGGGCTCTGCATAAGTACAACACATACAATCAGTGGACTGCTAGGGCTCTGCATAATTTTTTATGCATGTAAAGGGCTTCGGAGCCCCAAAAGTTTGAGAACTGCTGCTCTATGCTATTAGTCCTAGGGCCCTGCAGAAGTGTGATACTTGTGGTGACTGTCTCTGGTTCCTAAGAACTTAATTTTAAAGTACAAATTGTTTTATTTTGAAATAATCCTCAAAATATTTGTTAATGTGAGTCCTGCCTCTCTGTCTCCCAGCCAAAACTTACACATTTTTGTAAAAAAGAAATTAAGATGACAGCTTGGATTCATGAAGTGTTTCTGAGAGCTATGCTTAGACTGGAAATACATGCTGCTGGCTTACAGCTTTTTAATTACACTAATTTCTTCACTCAGCTTTTATTGCTTAATCAGTTGTGCTTGATATTAAAGGAAAATATAGCTAAATAATAATGTTTTATAGTTTGCCTCTTGACATTGTGAACAATGTAACATCCTCAAGCCCAAACATAATATTTCATGCTAAGCAAACACTGCACTTATTAGCAGAGAAATGTGAGCCTACAGAATGATCATAGAATACTGGAACTGGAAGCTACCTCAAGAGATCATCAGGTCCATTTCTCTGCCCTCATGGCAGTACCAAGCACTGTCTATATCATCCCCGACAGCTGTCTGGCTAACCTGATCTTAAATATCTCCAGTGATGGAGATTCCACAACCTCCTTAGGCAATGTATTCCAGTGTTTAACCACCCTGATAGGAAGTTTTTCCTAATGTCCAACCTAAACCTCCCTTGCTGCAGTTTAAGCCCATTGCTTCTTGTCCTATCGTCAGAGGCCAAGGAGAACAATTTCCCCCCTCCTCGGCAGTACAGCTGGATCCCAGCAGGGGGGCTGTGTGTGCCAGCAGCGGTGTTGCCTTGATGGGGCCAGGGGCGCTGCATGTGGAGAAGCCAGCTGGGAGGCTGGCAGCAAGGCCACGACTGGGGGGCGCCGGTGCCAGTGCCAGCGGAGGCACAGAAATGACCTTTCCTGGTCTGGCAAAATGCCTCATCCAGGATCTATCAGGTCCCAAGGGTGCTGGACCAAAGAGGTCCAACCTGTATGGTTTAAAAAAAAAATTAAAGTAAGGACCTGAATAATACCAGCCAGGTACAACTAGAAGGTTTACTTTATAGACAACCAAATGGATGTTTCAGTTTAAATAAAAGAGTGATGTGGAAGCTATTTTCTTCTTACTCATAAAAACTTACTTAGTTTTTTATTAAAGTATTTGAGTATCTGACATCAGCATTTGTAGAACCTACTGTAGTGTCTTTGCACATCATCCTAATACATTTTAGGACCGTTTCTTCCACTATAAAATTTGAGAGTGTACACACTATTGTATACTCCATTCTTGAGTGTAGGTTTTTTGTTTAACTACTTTAATATAATTTCTTTAAAGTATAAGTAGTCCACTGCTTAGTCAAATGTTCATGTATCTAATGCATTTTAACTTGTCACAGGGCAGACTCACCACCATGGAACCTCCAGCTGGCAGTCCCGGGAATTAGCTCTCCCACTCACTGGACGCCTCCCTCTAGCTGGTGTCTCCCTGTGTTCTTACTAATCCCTTTGGTCCTGACCCGTGTCACTCTTTGATCATGGCATCCCCTTCTGGACACTGCCCTCCAACAGTGCCCACTCCAGTCTCTCTGCACCCCCTTCTGGGGGGGAGGGGTAGAACTGTTGTCTACCCAACTGCGCACTCCACGGTCCTCCCCTCCTAAGGGGCACCCAGTTCTTCTCCTAGGGACCACCCAGTTCCCCTGTACCCACTTTGCCTCAGTTGATCCACTGTCAGTCTTCATAGGCAAACTGCAGTCTGTAATGGCCACTCATCACTGGCAAAGAGGTGTGGACCTGCTGCTTTTGCTTACCACAAAAGGTGTGGATGGGATAAATGGACTGTAAGATGGATAGAAAGCTGGCTAGATCAGGGTTTCCCAAACTTTTTACTTTAGTTGGAACCCGTTTTTTTTCAGTAATGTTTTTTGCAGCCCAAAAATAGAAATGCATATAAAAAAAGGAATACATTTTCAGTGTTTCACCCAGCTGCATCCTCCGCCCAGCCTGGGCCAGGGCTTGGGGGACCTGGAGCCGCATGGGCACTCCAGGAGGCGGGAGCAGGAGCAGATTGGGGGTAGGGTATCTGGCTAGGAGGGAGGGTGCAAGGAGGGGTAGGGTTGCCAGGTGTCCAGTTTTGTACCGGTCAGTCTGGTATTTGAGGGTTTTGTCCGGGAAACAAATTGAGAAAATACCGGACGTATAAAATGTCCGGTATTTTCTAATTAGGTAAGTTTTATTATTATTAGGTGTATCAGTCCTTAGCTGTGAACTGCCTGGCTGGTAGATGTGCTCATGCTGCATGAGTGTGTCTACCAGCCAGGCAGTTTGCAACTACTCAAGGGAGGGTATGTGGGGGAGGAGGGCGGGGGCAAAATGGAATCTCTGGGGCGGGACTCACTCGTGTGCCTGGGTCAGTCCCTCTCCCCCCCCC